CGGGGTCGGCATGGAATCGGATACGAGTGCTTTTCCGGCGTGTTGCGTTACTGCGCTCGTTTCGTGGGGTGTTAGGTCACACCAAATATTTGAGCGCCGGTAAATTGGAGGGAAAGAAGGAAGGAAGGAAGGGAGGAGGGGGGGAGGGAGGGAGGATTGAGAAGTGATGTTATCTTTGTGTGTGTGTGCGACAATGTATGATACGCGTATTGACAAAGTTACGTTAGATTAAAGTTAGCCTTTGGAGGAGTTTCACTCTCGGGGTGCCGTGCCGGGAGTGTCGGATCTCCCGTCATGGAAGTCGGGGTGGAAATCCTTGCATCGTACCAGTATATCTTCACAAGCACCCACGAAAGAGGGCCCACTTGCGGTATGTAAAACGTGGGGGGAGGGGGTGTGGAGGTTATGCGTCGAGTATTCCTTTTTAATTTCCGCCAACCTCTCTCATATCATAGCATATTCGTTCAAAGTATGCTCATAATTTTGGTATAATATGGGCTCATCTTGGGCATGAAATGAACCCGGAGACCAGTCTCTACAAATACCCCGGATCGACCTAAACTAGCAACTGTAGGATAAGCCTTACGCTAGATCATCCAAGCATGCACGCACGCGCACACAACTCACGCACTTGTGATTCCGGAGACTACCTTGGCTTGGATAAAAGAAATATGGGCCTTCTTTCCACTCGTATAATACCTTCTTGACTACCGTACCGGTACCCGCCCAGGACCCACAGCTATCACAAGTCCCTTAGGTTATGCCCGTCAGGGATGCAATTTCAATGCCAGGAATCGGAGGCTATGGGATGAGTAAGTCTACCTTCCTATGGAACACCACAAAGCCAATCGGGAAGTAGGCTCACACACACTCTCTCCCGGCCAAGGTTGATTGCACGAGGACCTCCCCTTCCGGCAGGTGCACATGAACCCCGATGATCGTGGCTGGGTGTGTGCCGGTATGCCGACGGGAGCGCTAGAGCATTCCCTGGCTCGATGTTCGCGGAACTTGTATCCGTTGTGCAAGAGGTGTAGGGCTAGGACTTGTCCTTCACCAGGGCATAAGATCAGACGTCGTGGCCATGAAAGATGAGAGAAAAAGGAAAAAAACTCTAGAAGCCCGCGGGGGGGGGGGGGGTAAAAATAGGATGCCAGACGTAGATCGTCTACCCCATGTTCCGGAGAAATAATGCCTGACAAAAACCTGAGTCTGGAGTTTTGTTTTTTTTTAGCTTTTTTTATCTGAACGTGCAACACCATGGACACCCCTTAACAGCATCGTGAGGAGAAACTCTTCGATTGGCCCATCAAACACCAAAAAAAAAACACCCCCTCCTCCAAAGTCTGGGCATATATTGGCAGTCCATATCATAACTACGCGGGAGAAATACAACCCCACACACTCCTGCACCCCCCGCAGAATTCCTTCAAGCGCAATCTCGTTCCTGAAACAAATTGGACTACGATAACCCACTCACTCTTACAGATCCCACATGGGCCATCGCGAACAAAGGATGGGAGGATTCCCTCGGAAGAAGGGGGGGGGGACCCATTCCTTTTTTTATTTTTATTTTTATTTATCTTTTATGCGTGGACGGGGGCGGGCGGTGGCAGTGTAGTGTGTGTGGGGTCCCGGTTTCGAAAACGGCCGGCTTACAGTCCTCTTTTACGTAAAGCTCACCGGCAACTTTGTGAGAATTACGGGTCGAGGGGGGGGGGGGTCCGTCCGTCCGTCCGTCCGTCCGGTTTTGGTTGGGGGGTTTTTTTTGTTGAGTTTTGTGCTGTTTGGTTTGGTATCATGTAAAGGGCTATTGTCATCCCCCTTTCATCTCTTCTTTTTTTTTTTTTTTTTGGAATGATTGGTTGGGTGGATGGGTGGGTGGGTGATATGTTGTGATGGCTTTTGGTGATCGTTATGGGTCGCATCATTCATTATATTGGTATGGTAGTATCGTAGACTACTGCCAATGTGGGTTGTTGCACATCCCGTCACTCGAAAGGCAATCGGGTTCCAGGGGTTGTCATAATTTTTAAGTTTATGTGAGGATCTCATCTCTGTGTGATAAGCTCTACTTGTACCTGTTGGTATGATATGAGCGAAACCTGATTTCTCCGCACTCTCCGCGACGTGAAGCTCTATGGCAGGATACGCTCACCGTTCTACTGGTACCGGTATGAAATCCACAGTGCGGGACATCGCCTTCCCGGAATCGTCGTACCTTACGGCGGTAATTTATCGTACGGTGGTGCCATTTCCAACACTTAACGGCAAAGCCCAGAAACAAGCGTTTATGGAGCGGACGGGAATCTGGAAATCTACTCGAGTATAGTATACTGCCTTGTGGTGACCATTGTTAGCTAATAAAACATCACATATAATGCCCGCATTTGTCCATAGGGCCAATAGCTTAATACCCGTGATCGCGGATGTATTCCGCATCCTGTACGTAGATCGTACGTTCGGAACATCGCGAACATCCATGACGATCCTGGTGGAACCGGGGTTAGCAAGGATGGCCATGGGCATCGTATTGAGCACTAGACGAGTGCACTATCACCTAACACCTCCGGGATGATGGATCGATTACCGGCTACTACTATTATACCTTGAAGACTTCCTTAGGCCTCTTGCGGCGCGCCCGCTCGTAGAATAGGCTGACATGCCGGACTGGGAATCGTTCCTTCTCGACACTCTGCAGAACTTGGATATTCTGGTGGCGATTCTTGGGTATACCTATGGGAGACTGGTTTCGTGAATGTGGAGTGAAGTGTTTACGTGGGTAGTTGTCGTGGGATAGAGCGCGGTCTATCATAGATGGTGGAAACCGATCCACCCCAGGTGTTCCCTATTGGTATTGGTGTAGTGGTGTCGGGCACTTTAGATATTTTTTTGTGAGCCATGGTACAGTATGACTCTCATACATTGGCGGAGACAATAGAAGCTACAATCATCATTCCGGTTTGGATTCTTCGGCGATGTGCCAATGCTCTACTGCTACAGGGAATTCCCGAAACCTCTCTTCCGGTCAGTTACAGGTAATACAGCCACAGCTAGATATAATACCATTATAAAAAGTACAAGTACTTTTCCTTGAAAGAATGCGGAGCACCCTTCCACCCCCCCCACCCCCCCGGTCCAATAGCCCCGCTATAAATACCCCATAGATGCAAACATCAATTACAATGCATGCATATCATACCCTCCGATAACTCTTCAAAAAATGCATGGACACCAGTAAAAATACCCCGCATCACAACCCACCCCCCTCCCCCTCCCCCTCAAAGTAAGAGTCATATCCAAAAATGCACAACCCCTAACCCACAACAATACGGGTAGGGCACCGCGCCGCACTGCATCTATGATATCGTAACAACTGCAGTCCTCCACCCCACTCCACCCCCCCCAATCAATCAATCAATCAATCAATCAATCAATCAATCAATCAAATAAAACCGGACCAAACCCTCCACCCCGCACAAAACCTCCACCATTCCGAAATGCACCAGTAGCTGGCACGGACAAAAAGACCGGCCCCGTCGGCTGAAAGTACCGGCATCATATCCTCAGCGGGCATGGAGTGCTGTGCTGTACAGTGACAAAAGTACAGTAGGGGTTCTCAAGTTATGTGTGCCGAAAAAAAAAAAGCGCGCGTACCCGTGTCCGGGCGTCCCGTAATCGGCACGGCCCGTGCTTCCCCGCTTCAATCGCTGGTCGATGATTTTGGGAAATTCTCGAGGGTTATGAAGTTGGACAGCCCCTCCCCACTTCGGTCTTGTGATAAACACAAGTTTATATATATAAACAAAAATCCCCCCCGCTTTAACTGGCCCGCGATGGTAAAAAAAACCAAAAAAAAAACCCCTTGAAGTATCAGTCAGTCAGTTTTCGTGGCCATCAGGGGGCCGCCCCCACGGACAAAACACCACTTACTGTGCTCATGATATTTCCAGCCTTTCCCGGTGACCTTCTGAATAGCGCGTTTGATGCTAGATTTTACACACACCCCGGATTAGAATGCAGGTTTTCAAGATGTCGGATCCAATTGCCTTGCATTCCTTTTATCGACTTGACCTGTTTATAAGATACCCTGGCAACGAGGATACATGAATACAAGCGGGAAACAGAGTAACTCAAGGGCCATGCTTTGTTAATTCTGTCCTGTCATTGGTTTTGATTTAGAAACTTGGTCGTGTATTTATTTACGTTCCTTGGTATTTCTGTTTCAGCTTTTCGCTGCCGGACAGGAAAGGATAATATACGACTAGTCTTTTGTGTAGAGTTGGGTATAATGGAATATGATAGAGTAGAGTAGCTCTCCGTGTAAGTAATGAGCAACATTGTACAATATAGCGAATGAAATGAAATAAACCTCACCTCAACAAGCTAGCAACCACCTCTACCTCTACCACGCGCGTGCCGCGAGGCGAGAAAGAAAAAGAAAGTGGGAAAGCGAGGAAACAAAGGGCATCGCGAGATATCAACATCCTCGACCACCAAACAAACAAATAGTTACATAAAAAGCCGAGTGAGTGCTTATGACATTCGTCCACCACCCACTTGCGGAAAGATAGACAGACACCATCACCATCACCCTTACATTCCAGGCCAACCACCTTACCGGCCCAAAGAGTGCACAAAAATAGCAGCCAACTCCAAAGAAACACTATTCCCATCCCGGATATAAATAAACGTTTACAGGAAAAAACCAACCCAAAGAAATTCGTTCAACATAAGTTTTTTCTTCTTCTTTCCCTTCCCACCCTCCTTCGTATCCAATCACCGCTAACAGATACCATGCCACAATGAAACACATGATCGCGTAGCAGCACGCCAACTTTTGTTTGGGAAAAGACAAAACATAAATCGAGTCGTAATAGTAAAAGAAAGCAGTGGGCAGAAATAAACCAAATATAAATTCTCATCGCTTTAACCGCCCCCTTTGACAGGTCGGCTGTAGATATATTAGTATCGTATCTTGGGAAAGTGGAACTGGGAACACACTAGTATGGGCCCGAATCTGCAGCACTCCTCGGCGGGTTACGGCTATATCCAATGTAGGTCCCCGGCTTGTTCGGATCCTCAGTGGGCCTTCCACCCCGAGCTCCGGATGATTCAGCAGATGGCTGGGGTGGTGGGGCGGGTGCTTCGGCTTGGGGCGGGTCTGGGGCGGGTATCACGAGGGCCGGCTTTGCCGGCGGTGGGCGGTTGGCGGAGGGGCCGGGCCCGCCTGAGATTGGGTACCCGTGTACCGACTGAGGACGGCTATGGGACCTCTGGCGGGGGTGGGGGCGCCGACGGCGGTGATCACGCTCCTTACCCGAGTCGTCACGCCGATCACGCCTAATCACCCGGATCTCACCTTTGCGAATACGCTCAGAAAGTCCGATGAGATCGTCAATCTCATCCTCGTTCAGCACTCGGAACACCACAATAGAGTCGGGTTGCTCTTCAAAGTCGTATCCCCTAACCTCGACCGCTCGGCGGGCAACAATGTCACGGCTGATTTTCGTCCATCGGAGTTCGTCATCAGCAGGCTTTCGGCCACGGCTTTGCGAGCGCCGTCGGCGAGACAGAGCCCTCACTCCACGAAGAGGCACGATTTCCCGGTCACGCCCGCGGTCGTCATAACGGGGCTCCAATGCAAGAGCATCCATACTGTGGAACATGTGATCACGCATACCCCTTTCGTCACCACCGTAGGTACCCATATCCTGCCTGGGCATAGAGACAGGCATAGAAACGGGCACAGAGGCAGGCATGGATGCGGGTATCATAGGTGCTGGTGGGGGTGGAAGTATTAGTGGCTCGATTCCAGGGGGTGGGACGGCGACTGGAGCGGGGGGTGGTGGAATGAAAACCGGCTGCACTGGCGGAGGCGGGGGTGCAGGCAGGGCAGCTGGAGCTGGAGCGGATGGGGGTGCAGTGATTGCTTGCATTTGGGGCGCAGTGATCGCCTGAGTAGCTGGGTTTATTGGGATAGCTGTAGTGCGAGCAGTAGTATTGATGGTGATGCTCCCAATGCTTACGGGTTTCCCTCCACTGCCCGTGTACGTGATATCCACAGAATTCCCGGCATATTCCAATCGGATTCCCGTTCCAGGTTGGGGAACGGTGCTAGAAGATGATGAGCTACTGCCACCATCGGATTCGGAAAACGGGGCGTGCTGCGGAATCATTGCCCGTGATTCGGGAGGAGCAGACCGTGATCGGGACCTTACTAGGGCACCCGCATTCGGGCCGGCAATCCCGGAGCCAGCCGGTCTCCTCCCACCCGGACGCTGGTCATACATATCCCGTTCATCGGAGTACCCGTCCGACTGGCCGTCGCCGCCTATCTCCCCAAGGCCTAATCCATGCGGGCCCCGAGACGAGCTTCTTCCACGTTGCCGCTCCCCGCCAAGGACAGGTCTGTTACCACTAGCTGGGTTGTACACTGTGCCTCCAAACGATCTCTGGTCGCGTTCGCCGGGTAGGGGTCCATCAAGCCGGTATCCCCTATCCTGCCGTTGGCCAGAAGGGACTGCAAAGCCCCTGTGGCGATCCTGGGACTCGAAGCCTGAAAAAGGAAAACCGCTGCTCCCTAGGGGCCATGTGTTACTATGGCCGGCTACATTATGTGGGGTCAAGGTATAACATACCACCAGCAGAGCCAGGAGGAGAGAATTCCCCATCCCTGGTGCTAGAAGAAGATCGCGATTCCCGATGAGCCGTCTGATGAGCTGCCTGATGAGCCGTCTGATGAGCCGTCTGATGAGCTCGAGGATGGTTTCTGTAGTCAGATTCTGGATGCTCGTATTCCTGCGTATGCTGTGGGTATTTCTGGTGAATGACATTTTGCGTATTTCCAGTCTGCGCATTTTTCCCATAGTTAGGGCGAGCTCCATTGTAGGCATAACCGGCATCACCACCCCTCATCGCCGGAGGAGCCGGGGCTGGTGGAAAGCCATATTGCAGAGGATGGTGATGCATGTGTCCTAGCCGGGATCCTGGGGGATAAGCCCCTATGCTCTCATTACTAGAAATGGGGGACTGAGGAACGGAGTGGTTGTTTTGAGGAGGCGCTTGAGGAGCAACGGGCGGTGGCCCACCATAATAGCCATCGCCGCCGCCTGCTAATGAGCCTGTGGACATGCGGTGAGGGTCATCACGAGGCTTTTTTCTACTCCGGCTCGGAGATGGTCGTCGATATTGGGACGACATGGCGGGGCAAGTTTATCGGCGAGGGGTTGAAAGGAGAGTGAAGGAAAAAAAGAAGGAAAAAAAGGAAAAAAAAAAAGAAGCTCGGTTATGTGTCACAAGAGGGTTGAGATAAAATAAAAAAACAGGATCAAGCAAAATCACGGCTCCGCGTAAACAGCAATGAAGGCGAAAGACGATGTCGTTGCTATAGAGAAAGAGGAGGAATACGATAGGGAAGCGCTGTTCTGAAGATGGTTGAGGGGGGAAGGAAAAAAGGCGGGTTGATGAGGGGTTGTTGAAGAGTTGCTTTGCTCGTATGCTCTTTTTTTCGCGGCGGTGGAGAGATGACCTGTGAGTGATGTGCCACGTCGAAGCGGGGAGGGAGGGAGGAGCGAGGGAAGAAGGAGGGGGTGGCAAGGGAAAGGTAAGGAAGGCGAAGAAGAGAGAGAGAGAGAGAGAGAGAGAGAGAGAGAGAGAGAGACGGAAGGAGTAGGAAGGAGGTAACGGT